TAGGATATATTAAAGGAACATTAAAATCCTAGCTTTTCTAGGATCTAGATATAAGAGCTATAAAACAGCACTTAAATGTAGTATTCTTTAAGGAAAAGAGGAGGGGTAATTTAGATTTAAAGTTTTAATCTAAATATCTTTCCTTAAATGCACTATAGAGAAAACCACTTAGAAGGCTAGCTAATATACTAAGACCTAAACCTATTCTAATCTAGGAACCTATAACTAAAAAGTTAGCCCTTATAGCATTTATTTAGATTCCTCCTCCCCTAGCAAATATAGGGGAATTCTAGAAAATTAAGGACTAAGTTAATTCTCTACCTTAGGTAGAGCAAAGAAAGAGAAAAGCTATAAGTAATATAGAAGGATTTAAAGCTAAATCTAAAGGACCGAGAGTCCTTTAGGAGATAAGCTAAGAGAGGCTAAAGGATTAGAATCCTAATAGAGAAGCAATAGAGATTATATARGCCCTATTAGCTATAATCTCTAAACTAGGCTAGGACCTAGAAATATAAGATATCTTCTATAAACTTACTTTCTCTGCAATAGCTACCTAAACTGCATACTAGTAGAATATCCTAATTCTAGCTACCTATAAGGAAGTAGTAGGAGATAAAGAATAGAGAGCAATATAGATAGAAGCAATCTAGAAGGAACTAGATTCACTTATAAGCAACTAGACCTAGGAACTAACTATTGCTCTAAAAGGATTAAACCTTATAACCTTAAAATAGGTCTTTACTATAAAAAGATTAGTAAGTAGTGCCCTTAATAAGTTAAAAGCAAGACTTATAGCAAGGGGTTTTTTATAGAAATATAGGATTAACTTTAAGGAGACTTTTGCACTAACTGTTAGATATAAAACCTTAAGAATATTTATAGCTATAGTCTATAAGGAAGACTAGGAACTCTATCTTATAGATATTAATAGTGCTTTTATAAATAGTTACCTCTAAGAAGACATTTTTATAGCCCTACCTAAAGRAGTAGATCTTCCCCYTAGCTAAGTCCTAAAAATCCTAAGAAGCCTATATAGATTAAAGYAAGCTACTAGARACTAGAATTAGCTTTATRTTTTAAAGCTTAAAGATTTAGGATTTGTTTAGTTAGAGGTTAACCTATATCTAATATTCTATTATAGAAAGAATCTTATAGTTATAAYATATRTTAATAATATTCTAATTGCTGCCCTATTAATAAACTCTATAAACTAGTTTAAGAAGGAATTTAGAAAGATCTTTAAGATTAAGGATCTTAGAGAACTATCTAGAATCCTAGGAATAAATATTATAAGAAATAGGAAGCTTAGAACCCTAAAACTAGATTAAAGCTATTATATTTAGGAAAGTCTTTAGAAACTAGGCATTAAGTTAAAATCCTTAAAGCTAACTCTCTTACTAATAGACAATTATAAGGGACTTATTAAGTTAGGCCTAAATAATAAGAGATATAGCAAGGAGGAATACTAGATAACAATTAGAATATAGATGTAGCTAATAATTATAACAAGACCAGATATTACCTTTATAATTAGAAAGCTAAGTGCATTTTTAAGTAATCTATCTAAAGCCTACTTAAAAGCTTTAAAGAAAGTCTTAAGGTACCTAAGATTATTTCCTAACTTTAGATTAACCTTTATAAGATCTAAATCTAGATACTTAATTAGGTACTTAGACTTAGACTTTATAATAGATAAGTTAAATAGGATCTCTATCCTAGGAAATATGTTTAAGTTATGCAATGCCCTAATTTTATAGATAAGTAAGAAGCAGAAATCTATAGCAACTTCTAYAATAGAAGCTAAGTTTATAGTAATAAATGCATATATAAAATAATTACAGTTCCTTTTAGTATTGCTTAGAGAAATAGATTAAACTAAGCTTATTAGATTATCTGCTTTTTAACTAATAATTAAAGCAGGAAAGGATATAGCTAAATAGCTTAGGCTAGTTTAACTCTTTAGGGATAACTAAGCCTGCCTTACCCTTATAAAGGATGTACATATTTATAAAAGGTTAAAGTATATTAACATTGCATATAACTTTATAAGAAGACTTTAGTAGTAAAAGAAGATCTATATAGAATACCTTCTAATAAAAGAAATAGTTGTAGATAGCCTAACTAAACCTCTTACTAGTCTAAACTTCTAGATATATATAAATTATCTTAGCATATAATAAGCATTCTAAAATTTAGCAAAAGTATATAATTAAGGATGTCCGAACAGACATACTCGATTATATAATACTAAGTTAAGGAATTGCACTAAGATAGTAGCTAAGATARAATTATACTACTAGGCTATAGAACTACCTTTCTACACTTAATAGAATCTTAAAAGATCTAGGGAAATGTATATAGTCTATTCTATCCTAAGTAGGAGTATTAGAAAGTGCAGTTATAGAATAGTTATATATCTAATATAACAGAGAGCTAAGTAGCTATAAGGTTATATAACTCTATATAGGGTAAAATCTCTTCTTAGGAGATAGAGACACATCTCTAGATAATTAACAAAATTAACACATTAGTTCCTACTTNGGGTAAAATCTCTTCTTAGGAGATAGAGACACATCTCTAGATAATTAACAAAATTAACACATTAGTTCCTACTTTTAAGTACTACCTGTCGGAGACAGTAAGCTAGTTAAAGATTAAGATACTCTTTTACTCCACCCCTAAAAATCTGCGAACCTCCGACTAATATTTAACAACTACCCTATTTTATTTGTTAAAGTAAAAACACTATTAGGAACTATATTAGCTATCTAAACTTATAGAAAGACTACTAGAAATTTACTAACTAGCTACTCTTAGGCTTCCTATTACCTCCTAGAGCTTATAGCTCCTAATTCTAACTACTCTTAGGTTATCTTAGTGTTATTATTATTAGGAGTATCCTTATCCTAACGGGCACGAATCTTATTAGGGTTAAATGCTATACTAGCATCCTATATCTAGGTAAAGTTCTCTAGGACATTCTATAGTATAGCCCTTATATAGGCTCTCTACTACTCTCGGTTAGAAGCTAATAGGTAGTTAAAGTTAACTATAGCTATTCTATAACGACTACTAGCGCCTAGAGTAGGAAGAGATCTTAAGAAGTTAATCGGATAGCGATTGTTATAAGGGTATATATTTCTAGTAGGGCTTCTAAGAGTAGTAGGCGACTAGAAGGGTAATACCTAAAAAAGAGGTCTACTATTACTATTATATATTAGTAGGAGAGGACGGTTGCGGTAGGTAATAGCTAGAGGATTATCGGGAGCCTTAGATGTCTTAGCCTTATCTAGATTCTAAGTAATACGAGCATTAAACTTAGTGCGGTTATAAGTGTTTCTTAGAGTAGGCTTATAAGTGCTAAAGTTATAGCGCTCGTAATAATTATTAATAGTACACTCTAGGCAAGCTCCCTTAAATAGGCCCTTAATAGTAATATAGCTATTAAAGATAGTGTTACTACGGCTAGTATAGGAGTTATATATAATACTATTAATCTAAGTACTACGAACTAAAGAAGTAGTAATAGTTAGGTAGTAATTGTTACTACTACTAATATTAACTATAGGCTCCTTAGATCCGGAGCTAAGGGTATTAAAAGTAGCTAAACGAGGCTAAGTAATAACCTTAAACTTAGGCTTTCTACTAGTAAGCTTATCTATCTACTAGGTAGCTAGAGGATTCTTTAAGATATCCTTAAAAATAGCTGCTAAGCTAAGACTACTACTACGGCCCTCCTTATAGGCTCTATTAAGGCTCTTAATAAAGTAACGGTTAAAATGCGATAGGGGAATAACAACCTTACCCTTTATATCTAGAGCATACTTATAGGTAGTAAGATCTTTTAGAATATTCTAAACCTTCTCTAGTAGCTTCTCTCTCTAGGAAGTACTAGTAGCCTAGTAACTAGTGCGGCTAGGATTCTTCTTTAGTAGACTACTACTACTACTACTACTACTACCTATACTAGTAGCTATATAACTACCTTTATAGTTAATTACTATAAACATAATAAATATCTTAATAGATACTTAATTAAGTGTCTTAATAGATAATTAATTAAGTGTTTAGATATAACGTAAGGCGGATTAATATAAAGGATATTATAGTATAGATAATAGTTAAGTTTAAAAGAAGGAGGCCTCTTATAGAAGCGTTAGAAAGAACTTAGATATATATATTAAGTTATAGGGACCTAAGACACACGCATAATTGTGCATAACGTATATATTAAGCATATGTAGTAGTATCTAGCTACTAAAGCCGATAATAGCTTCTAATCCTTTCTATAGATATATATAATATTACTAGAAGGGGGAGTGTTATAATTCTAGTACGTAATCTATAGATAACTAAGGATTAGACGATATAGCCGCATCTTAGATGCAGAGTTTTTACCTATATGCTAATTAGTGTTATCTGCGTACTTCGCCTCAATTTAGTAACAGCTTTACAACACTTGCGGTGTTAAGCTTCCAACGGCCGTAAGATTCACAAGCGTGTCTTCAGAACTGTCCAACGGGCAACCAGGTTTCAGGACAACCATCCCCATTATCACACACTCGACTACATGTCCATGAATCCTTCTGCATCTTCACCCTCGAGGAAGGCATCGTCATCGTCAGGGTCATGGTCATGGTCGGAGGGAAATGTACAACTCCCCCCCCGAATGCGACTGCATGCTACGAGTAAGTAGATCGTCTGGTTCTTCTCCGTCATTGAGGAAAATGTAAGACAGTTTCGAACGTTGGTCGATTCATGTCAACGTCAAAATTCCACAAAATATAAATCATACTATCGCGCCAACAACAACCTGGCGCAACGTTAATCCTCGTCTCCTTTCCACCTCCACCACCTCACATCTCTCCACTCAACGTGATCCTCCTCCCTCTTCATTGTCGCCGAGGCATCCCACCACGCATCACATCACCTCACTCAAAACCACCACCATCATGCTCTACCCACTCCTCATCGCGGTCATGCTCTCCGCAATCTTCAACACCGCCGCCGCGCGCATGGTACCACCTTGGGCCAAAGACCTCCCCAACTACAAGCACCTCAACAAGAGCCCCCCAAAGAGCGCCGCCCGCGACCTCTCTCAGAAAGCTCCCCTCCACCCCACATTCGACCCGCCGAGGTACAACCCACCACCACCACCAACCTACGCTTCTTCCCCGCCAGGATACGTCGGCCCAGCTTCACCTACACCCACCCCCGAATCAGAATGTCCATTCATCTGCATCGACGCCATCAACGAATGCGGCATGCGCTACGGCGATTGTCTCCCCGTCTGTCCCGGCGAGACGCCAGCTTTGACTCCACCTCCCTGTCCTTCTGCGACGGCTGAGGCGGTTCCTACGAGCTACCTTGTTTGAATGTATATGGGAGATGATGCATGCAAGAATGATGAATGGAAGATGATACATGCAAGAATGATGAATGGAAGATGATACATGCGAGAATGATACACTTTGATCATCTTTGGAATTCCGCGAGGCAAGCCAGGCGTTCCGGGCAGACTCGGATTGGAAAGGCGTTTCTGATTGGAAAGGCGTTTTCTTCTTCAAAACCGGGAGTCATGGGTCCGTCATTGGAGAGCATTGTATTATATTGTCAGGCGATACAAGCGGGATTGCGGGATTGCAGGCTTGCAAATGTATGAAACGACGGGCAGAAAGAGGAAATCATGACACGACTACATGATTGATCGGCTGTACATTACAAACAGAAAAGGAATGTCTTGCCCTTGCTGCCGGAACAGGCTGACAATAGATGAAGTGGGTTATGGCTATCTATGATTCCTACCAGGGGCATTAGCAGAAGCAATCACAGTRAGTCTGGTTTCGACAGTCCATGGGCGAATCATCGAAGTCCTATAAGCTCTCTGTCCCCAATAGATCTCTCAAGTAGACGATGTAGAGACGAAGTCGTGATATGCAGAGATGGCCATTGGTCGAACGAGAAAAAGTACACGTATCGTACCATTAAAGACATGCCGAAGTCATCATACAATTCCCTCACCCAAAAACAAACATCCCTTGTTTTCCAGCTCAACGAATCCTCACGATCTTTTATCAAGCATTCGACGGGGTACCGTATTTCATTCCTTGATTGTCATTAATATCCATCCAACGGTACTCATCTCCAATCAGACAAACACAGGATCCAATAGCCAAAACAAGAACCCCATACCATTCCTCTCCCCAAAAGCAAGTATCAAGCCATCAAGAAAACTCCCCCCCTCGAACACAAACATAATAAAAACCCTCCTTTCCATCTCTCAAACCGGGCTTCCTCTTAATTCAAATCACCACCAACATCCAGAAAAAAAACCCCCATATCCCTACAAATCCAATCCTAGCAGCCGCTGAAAACATGAAACTCCTCCTTCTTATCCTGCTAGTAAGCACGACARCTCTAGCACTCTCATACCACCCCGACCCCTTCCGCAAATATCCCCCGGAACGCTACAGTAAAGACTACGACGACGAAGAGGAGTTGTTATGGCGGCAGTTCGTGTGGGATAGGTAGTTTAGGAGGAGTATAAGGATCTGATGGGAAGGGTAAGGAGAAGGGAGGGGAAGGGAAGGGAAGGGAATTGGGAAGGGAAGGATTGGGAAGGGATTGGGATTGGGATTGGGATTAGAAAGGGGAAGGGGAAGGGGATTGGGATTGGGATTGGGAAGGGGAAGGGGATTGGGATTGGGAATGGGATTGGGATTGGAGGCGTAATTGATTAGTAGATAGCCATCTCCTTATAGAGATATAGAGGAAGGAGTGGTGGAGCAACTGCGTGTATTACGGTAGATCTTACTTCATCGTGAACTCTGTACATTACATCAACAACGGGCATGCTTTACCTACCATTCACAACCATCTTATCTCATCTGTACTATATCTCCTATTAGACTACTACCGCAGGATCTTATAGCCAAAAGAGGAACCCCATACCGCTCCTTCCTCCGAAAAGAAAAACATCAAGCCATCATAGCCAAAAGAGGAACCCCATACCACTCCTTCCCTCGAAAAGAAAAACATCAAGCCATCATACATACCTATCCAGCACAAACATAATAAAAACCCTCCTCCCCATCTCTCTCAAACCTGCCTCTCTATTCCCCATTACTACCAACATCCTATCAAACCATATCCTATAACACAATCCTACCAACCGCCAAGACAATGAAACACCTCCTCCTCCTCATCCTCCTAGCAAGCAGCACAGCTCTAGCATTCTCATTCTCGCCCAGATGCAAATTCCATCCCGAGCTCTGCCCTGAAGTAGCGCGCGCGTACCGCGAGCTGCACCTCTTTAATCGCGATGCCAAAGAAGAACGTGCCAAGAGGATGGGGCATTTGAAGCAGCGGGCGGATGATGAGGCGCGGGATCCGATTATAAGAACCTAATGGGAAGCCTGAGGAGAAGTTTGAGGAGGGAGGTTGAGGGGAAGTTTTTGAGGAGGGAGGGTATGAAGTTGTCTCTTTTGAGGACGAGGACGTGTTTGATCGATGGGGATGTGTTGATGGATGTTTTTGGGTGGAGGTGGAGTGGAGAGTATATGGGAAGGGGAAGGTGAAGGGGGCTTGGCAACTGGGGTGGTGTGAGTGGTGGGTAGGTAGCTATCTAGTTCTACTCGTATCCTCGCAAGGAATCAAGACGTCTTTGTTCTTGGGTGATTTTAGTGTAAATCTTCAAGTGCATGTGCATTGTCGAGTGAATTTAACGCACACACACACACACACACACACAACTACACACAACTACAATACCATCCCCTTATTTATAACCCTTCCATTTCAAGACCATGGAACTCTCCCAGAAAATTCCCATGGATAAACGAAAAAGTAAACCTATGAAAACTTCCCCCCCAAAGAAATCCGACCCTCGAAACACATGCTCTTTCAAGACCACTAAACCAAACCCTTCTCTTCTCTTCTCCTTCCTCCCTTCCTTCTCCTTCCTCACCCAAACCAAAGAAAACAAACCTACCCCGAAAATGAGATCCCTCATCCTCCTCTTCTTGATAGTAGCAACCACAGCTCTAGCATACACAATCCCCTCCTCCTCCCCCAACAACAACAACAAAGCCTCTTCGAAACAACACCAGCACCAACGACAACATCAAAATCCCACCTCTGTCCAGCATCTCTCGATCTCACCCCGTAGAGATGAATGTATACAAAARGGCAGTAAGTACTTCTCTACCTTCCCTCCCTCCATCCTTCCGACCTCCCACGAACCGAAAATCCAAGAATAAGGAAATCTTTCAACCGTCAAGAGAAGAAAGCCTGCTAACCAACAACTTGTGATGTCTAGAAAGCTGCACAACCGGAGTCGATGATGATCAGTGCTGTGCGGGATTGACGTGTAATGTGGGAGTTGTGTGGATTCATCGGTGTAATTGAGGAGGGATGAGACTACAATACCTCGAGGTAGCTGGTATGAGGAGAAGGGAAGGAAGATGCAAGGAAATTGAAACGAAATGATCTCCTCATCCCAAGGTTATCAAGCCGTCGTCACTGGACATTTCAATCGTTCAAACGAGCAGCACGGTCGAACTTGTTGATTAGTATTCGGCATCAAGAACGTCTTGTCAGTCTGGTGTGTATTCTCCAAAAGTGACACATCGCTATGTGCCTACAACGCCATCGCCAAGACAAGCAAGCAAGCATGCGCTAAATGTAATCTTTCATTCTCGTCATCATCGTCATCATCATAATCAGTCCACAGCGGGCGCGGGCGCAGGAGTACTCGCAGCATCCGCAGTAGCAGCAGCACCAACCTGCTTGACCTCCCTCTTTTTGGCGGCAAAAGGATTGTTGCCACCCATCAACATACTACTCATCATGTCCATCATCGGGTTACTTTGGCTGGGGATTTTGATGCCAAAGTACATTTCTCCGATTTGTGCCAGAGGTTCTTCCCACGTTGCCACTTCCTTGAGATGTGCGGCGTAGTGGGATTTCAGTTGTTTAAAGAGATCCGCGGAGCCGCGTTGAATGGCCAGGAGGAGGAGACCGAGGAAGTTGAGAAGGGGGAGGGACGGGTAGATTCGGATGTCGGAGGACGGGGAGGAGATGCTCTGGACTCCGAGACCGGGATGGGAGGAGGAGAGTTTGGAGGTGAAGAGCAGGAGGGTTTTGTTGGCGGAGCGGGTGTTACCGATGAGGAGGTAGGGGAAAACGGCGCGAGCAACGTAATGCGAGGCTGTTGAGGGTTCGTCGGAGGCGTAAAAGGCGTATTCCAGGTCGGCAAAGACGGCGGCCGAGTCGGTTGTTCCCAGCGTGAGATGTCGTTCGGCGTCGTACACTTCCCCTTCCTCCGCGAATAGTTGGCCGATGACATGGTGCAGTTCCGGGTCACCGGCGGGGAATTCACTGGATTTGCTGGACCATCTAGCAAAGAAGTATCATCAGCCATGTGTTCCCCGTGATATCAATATTGATTTCCACATCTTACTCGACGATACTGCCCACAAACTTCTTTTTACTCGGCTCGTTTGGGGGAAAAGCCTTCAACAGGGATAGAATCCTCGCCTTGCTGGTGACATCGGACTGGATGTCTGCTTTGGAATAGACGTCCATCAGGTATATGCACAAATCCGAGCCAGACCCGCCTTGACCCGCTTTGAGCAGCATCTGAGCGCCGGAGGAGAGCAGATCGATGGCGGCGGCATAATCGGCGGATTTGACATGGCGGTTGGCAATCGTGCGCAGTTGTTGGTGGGCTTCGTAGAATTCGCCTTCTTCAATTCTGGGGGAGGAAGAGGGTCAGTAAGGTGGGATGGGATGGATTTCCATGAGGGGAGACATCGTCTTACTTGCTCTTCTGCCGCGCAAGCACTTTTTGAATCTTGGCCGACATGTTGGCGGGAATGAGGGAGATTTACGAAGTGGTGGATGTGTGGGTGTGGCAGGAGGGAATAATATGTTGATCCGTGAAGAAATGTTGGATGTTGGTCGTTGGATGCAGCTCTCCAAAGTCCAGAAGCTTCTCACGTCACCAGCGAAAGCTAAACGCCAAAGCGAAGGCGGCATCTTCAAGCATGCATGTGATGATGACCACCGACAACACCACTTTCTCCAACCCACCTTGGATTGAAAGATAGAAAGTGAAGATTTTTGACGTGTCCAGCAAGGTCATCAACGTTTCCTCTCAGTACAATATTTCAATCTTGCCCTCCATCACCACTACCGCCGCCGCCTCCACCAACCAAACCCAACCCCACCAACCCGCGCGCATTCCTCCCACAAACAACCAACTACCACCTCACATCACACCACACATCACCCACCAYGGCCGACGTAGAAATGACCGACGCAACCACCAAGCCCACCAAAAAGGTGGCCACCGGCGAAGGCGAAGAGAAGAAGCGCTTCGAAGTCAAAAAGGTATCCTACCATCATCCCTCTCCCCAAAATACTACATCCACAAATCTAATGGGCATGTTCCTTCTAGTGGAACGCCGTGGCACTCTGGGCCTGGGACATTGTCGTCGACAACTGCGCCATCTGCCGCAACCACATCATGGACTTGTGTATTGATTGCCAGGCCAACCAGGCGAGTGCCACGAGTGAGGAGTGTACGGTGGCTTGGGGAATTTGCAATGTAAGATTTGATGCCCTTATTCTTGAGGAAATATGGTGAGAGAGGTGSTAACTGTGAGGGATGTGATTCTAGCACGCCTTTCACTTCCATTGCATTTCGAGATGGTTGAAGACGAGGCAGGTGTGTCCGTTGGATAATCGGGACTGGGAGTTTCAGAAATATGGTCGTTGATGGAAGTCATGCGTACGCGTGCAATAGAGGGGATGGAATTGAGGATGATTATGACCTGCATGGACGACGATGGCGCGGGGACTCTGATGGATGAAGGCTTCCACGAGATGGCAAGGGCAATGGATGGCACGATGCGCTCAAGGTGGAGAGTAGACGGTGCATATCACAAGGACAGCGACGGAGATGAATGAGCACGAGCATGCGGAGGGCGGAGTGCATTCACACGAAATGCATAGCATACGCTATACCCGGGTGTTGTAGCCATGTGCATCCACATGCACTCAGATATCAAGCAGTAGCTGCTCACAATCAAGCAAGAGCATCATGAATGCCATGCCATCCCATAGAAACACCTTGCAACTCCGCGCCAACCCATCATCAATGCCCTCCTCCTCCGAAATCAACCTCAACTAACCTTCTTCCCATCCACCTCGATATCAAATCTCTGCCCCACTGCCCCCGTCCTCGCAGGCAACCAGGCCAAAGGATTCTTCTGGAAATAAGGCCACGGGGGCACCACAACGACAAACGTGAGCAGTGTTCCGACGCCGCCAATGTAGAGGGTTTTGTAAATGTCTTGGGTGGAGAAACCGACGAGGAAGGCGAGGATTCCGGAGAGAGTGAGGAGGGTGTAGGTTAGGAGTTCGGCGAGGCGTTGGCCGGAGAAGTCCTATGGAGATGAAGTGTTAGGATGTGGGGGGAATGTAGGAGGAGAGGACAGGTGGAAGGAAGGAGGAGGGGAGGACGTACGATTTCTCCTTCGTAGATTACACGCGCTTGTTCTAGGATGGCGTCCATGGTTGAATCTTGGTGGAGTTGTCAATCTATTGAGGTCGTCTTTCGATGTCTGTGATGTGGTTTGGTATGGCTAGACTAGACTGAAACTAGCTTCCTGGGATGCTGGCTTGTGATGCTTGGAGATTCCGAAGGATGGCACGGAAGTTAACGTTTGCCGCGAAGGACGTCTGCCAAGATGACGAGGGAGGTGAAGATCATTGATGATTCACCCTCGATCTTTCTTGCAAAGGTACGGCATAGCTCTGCGCGCTTTTCAAGCTATCTTCAACTACGTAGGTATCATCATCTTTTGTTCCAGGCCTTGGAGGAGCTGTGCATGAATGTTGATGTGTGTGAGATTTCCAYCCGTCTCGATCTCCGTGCCCGATGTATGCCTGAAAACCACGCATTTGATTTGTGAAATGTCATTGGATGGTCAAGTGTTCTTTATTCGAGATTGTCGGCCAGGATTTTCGCTTGCATGAAGTGGGTCCTTGTCACGGCGTCGGGATTGCCTTTCCTGTCCTTCTCTTTCTTTCTTGCAGAAGTTGAAGACGTCCCGTCCTATTTACCCACCACCAGAACGACATTGCTGTCGTTTCACCCTCCCACACACCACTGGACCCCAACACCCACGACTCATTCCCCAACACTCACACACACACCCACACATCCGTTTTCGCACTCTCCCTCCGCGCGGCCCATGTGTTGACTAACCGGCCGCAACATCAACCTCCTCCCCTACATCGCCCTCGTCGAGTCCCCGACGACTCGACTGCACCCCTCTCTACCGACGATAACTACTGTCGTCATCGGAGTGAATCGCCTACCGCTCCTCCCACCGCTACCACCGCGCGTCGACGGACCAGACACCAATACCACCAAGTTGGCGGGGACTCGTGCATTCTCGTTCTTCCTTCTTCGCCCTCTCCTCGGACCCCTGCGGTTCGTCGGAGGCGACATCAAGCAGCCTCCATAATTGGGGCCGGATTGACCACCATCATACACACATATACACACACACTCATATATTCTGCTGGAGAGGTTGAACGAGTTAGGGGAACCGATGGGGTAATTGAATCCACCAGGTACTCGAAGAAGGAGTGAAGGGAGTTTTTGGCTTGGAGGGGAGCATTCGAGTCATAGACGAAGAGTCACCGGAAAGAAGAAGCAGAGGACGACGAAGCCGAAGAAGAATACAGCACAAGACAAGACACGACAAGACTATCTCCATCCAATCCAATCCACTCCAACACAATGGAAATGGACACGCGCTCCGAGCGATCGGCGACGCACACYCGCTACAGCACTCCCGAACCCGACTTGGATGACCACCGCTTTCAACCCGAGAGTCTGCCCCCAGTCATCACCAACACTAACAATCATGACTCATACCAACAAGGCCGACGAGGGACTCTGGCCAGCATCGTCGATGGAGATCGCCCCGTCATTCCCCGGCTCCAAGTCCCCCAGCCCGACCAACATGGCTCCATTGTGAGGGACTTTGAGCAAGCCATTGTCGACGATGACAAGAGCGTCAAGAGCAACAGATCCGACAGATCTCSAAATGCCGACCTCGAATGGCACCGGGAGAGACGAGGTCAAGGACATGGGTCTAACAGTCCCGCCGTCCCCAGACGCTCCGTCTTTCGTCGTGATCAACAGGAAGACAATGCTTCCATCCGCTCCGATCGATCCCACCGATCGACCTCCCCTCCCAACTCGGTCGATGCCTTTGCGCCTGCTAAGCGAGGACGCTCTGGTACCGTCAACAGCAGGGTCGTCTCCGATCGTGGTTCCATTCATCGTACCATCTCCAATGCCGGAACACACCCACGTCGTCGTCCCACGTTTGGAGAGGAGAATGCGCCGGGGATGAAATCGGATGTGGCCTCCATCCGAAGCTCCGTCGCCGAAGACGTGTGCTTCCCACCGGAGGAACCTCCCAACACCTACACCATCGACTTTGAGGATTTGGAGGAGTTTGTCTCTCAAACTCACACCAAGACGCCCGTCTCGCACCCTTTCTTGCCTGTAGCGGCGCAGAAGAAGGATGTCACACCCCGTGTCTTCAAGGATCAGCGAAAGTCCAAGGAGAACGGAAGCGACAGTGGTCCTTCAGACTACTTTGATGATGTGGAGAAGTTCGCGGCTGCTGCAGAGGGAAACAAGGACAAGGAGGACGATGCGGTTATTGAGGAGAACCGATCCGCCGAAACTCGCGCTCCCACCATCATGGAGCAAATCAACCGCTGGACTTTCTTCTCGTCGGAAATTGATGAGACGATCCATGCACCAGAATTGGGTGGTCTCCTCATGCCAGGAGAGACGTTTCGTGACATTTTCGAACTCGGACCAGAAGGAGGTGTCTGGTGGTTGGACATGCTCAACCCATCTGAAGAGGAGATTTCCACCATTTGCAGCGCTTTCCGAGTCCATCCTTTGACTCGAGAGGACATCACCACACAGGAGACGCGCGAAAAGGTGGAGCTCTTCAAGAGTTACTACTTCCTCTGCTTCCGCAGCTTCTATGCTGYCGACAAGAATAGTGAAGACTACCTCGAGCCCATCAACATCTACGCCGTGGTATTCCGCGAGGGATTGCTGACCTTTTCCTTCTGCCAAAACACCCATGCCGCCACGGTGCGACGACGTATCGGTCGTCTCCGTGATTACGTCAATCTCTCCGCAGACTGGGTCTGTTACGCCCTAATCGATGAAATCGTCGATTCCTTTGGCCCCGTCCTTTCCGAACTCGAGCGGGAGAGTGACACCATCGAAGACTCCGTCTTTACAGCCCGCTTTGAGGATTCCCGCGCTATGCTGAAGCAAATCGGCGAGTGCCGCAAGAAGATTATGGCCCTCACCAGATTATTGGGAGGTAAAGCTGACGTCATCAAATCCTTTGCAAAGAAATGCAATGAAGCGTATGCAGTTGCACCGCGCGGAGACGTGGGCTTGTACTTGTCCGATGTGCAAGATCACATCGTCACGATGATGTCCAATCTCGGGCATTTCGAGAAGATGTTGTCGCGGAGTCACACGAATCATCTCACGCAAATCACCTTGCAGCACACGGAACAAGGTAGTCGGGCCAACGAGTTGTTGGGCAAAATCACCGTTATCGCGACCATTCTGGTGCCGATGAATCTGGTGGCGGGATTGTTTGGCATGAATGTTCCCGTTCCTGGCGCCGGGAGTGGGGGACTCGGGTGGTGGTTTGGAATTGTCGGGGTGGTGTTTAGTATCGCTGTCGTTGCGGTCACGTTGGCGAAGAGGCTGAAGTATATTTAGAAAGCAGGAGTTTGAGAGCATGAGGGGTGGGAAAGGGAATGGTATACACATAGAGCTTTACTTTTTGTTGTTGTTTTGGTTTGAAAAGAGGGCATCGCGTGGAACAGTACAGCGGTTTTGGGATATGGGCATGGGCATAGCAAAGTTTTGGATCGTTCAGTAGTATAGGAATAGTATAAGGTAGTATAGAGAGGTTTTGCTTGCTGTTGTGCATAGGTTATTTTGGATATCTAGGTAGCAGGTAGGTAGGCAGTGCGGTACAGTACAGCGTCTTTGGGGAAATGTACATTTAGGAGAAGACATGTAAAAGTTCATTGTGATTTTCTTGGTTTCGACAGCAATGGATTTGTTCCCTGCCTCTTTGTTTTTTTGCTGTCTACTTCTAGGTAGGGTAGTCGGTTGATCTTCTAATCCTCTTCTATATATATATATAACCTCTCCTATTGAGGTAGGTTAGGTAGGTAAGTAGCATTACCTAGGTATACAAGTTGTTTACTTTTAGAGTAGGATACATGTATACTCATCTCCAACATGTTGATGTGACGGGACAGTTCAAACAAGCAAAACTTTTCGATTTTATTTCATTTTTGTGTTTTTGATGCTCGTAAAAAAAGGTTGTCTGTCTACTCCGTCACAGAAACCCCAGGTCTATATAGAAGTGTGTTGGAAGAAGGATCATCAGAACCAGTTCTGTCCTTTTTTTGCTCTCGAAGCAAAATACACATGTTCGTTGTCGTATATGATGAAGAAGATGAAGAAGAAGCGAAACAATCAAAGGTCATACGTCGTCAAGAAGCAAATCCAATCATCTCCTTGCCCCCCTTTTCCCTACTCGTTAGGGCAGAAAGTCACCTCGAAATCAACCATTCCCTGGTAGCAGGTAACGTCCGCAGCGTAGCTCTGAGCAGCGGAAGTCCAGCCCTGATCGATGGGGCAGTTTCCCGGGGTGCAGCATTTGGGTTCGCACTCGGGGTGTGCTGGGACGACCTTGATTCCAGGCGCAACGTGGCCCATCAAAGAGAGATCGTAAGCGGTGCCGGAGAGACCCTGAGGTCCGGTGTTGGAGTAGCCGTACTCGAACATGGCCTGGGGGAGGTACTGCATTGCAATGGGCAGGTGGGCGTTGGGGGAGAGACGCATGCCGACTCCGTAGTAGTTGGTGGAGATGTTGGCGGAGCACGAGGGCTCGATAACATGCGTGGCAGATTCCTGGGTGATGATGAAGGTGTCGGACATGCCGAAGGTGGCTACCGAGAGGTCTTTGGTGCAGTTGTTGTTGACCGTGATGGTGAAGTTGGAGGCGTGGGTGTTGCGCTGGTAGTGGCGGTGCTGGTGAGCGTGCTGGTGGGGCACTGCCAGGGCGGTGGCCGCCAAAAAGGAGGTAAGGGCCAGCTCGGAGAACATGTTGCTGTTGYTGTTGAGGGTGGAGGAGGAGGAGTAAAGACTGTGTGTGGTAGGGTAAAGGAGGGTAGGGTAGGGTAGGTTAGGGTAAGGTAGGTTAGAGAGTGTGTGGTTGGTTGAACCGAGATTGTGTATAGCGCTATAAAGAGAGTGTGGTGGTTGATGGACGAGGATCAAGAGAAGAGAGAGAGGAAGGATGTAAAAGGGAAATGCAGTGCTAGCAATGGTTCCATGCCAGCGCAAAGCCTGCGGTGCGGTGCGGGATGCATTTCGCCCGGCCTGCTGACGGGTTGGAAGTTTCTGTGCAAATCGAAAAACGGTCGCGTTGAGAAAGTAGGCCGAGGGGAAGAAGGTTGGACGGGGCAGACCAATGGCGGTTGTTGGCAGTACAGGGCCAGCGAATGAAAGATCAGTTCATGCGGGCTGGTGGAGGGAACGGTAGTTTGTGCCTGCTTTCATCTGCAATCGAGACGGGGGAGAAGCCGCGTGGGTGTTTTGGGAAGTCTGCCGCGTGGCGACCGAACATCAACAAGCGATTCGAAGGCATTTTTCTGTCTAGACTCATGGCCTCGTAATGGCGTGCGCCACCATTCATGGAATATTCAGAACGGCCTCTGACTTGCATACAAAGTACCTATACTTGCTGCAAGTATTCCCTGGAATAATCATGGAGGGACAAGGCTGGCTTGCATCGTGATGTTGCCTGACCTTTCCACCTCTGGGAAATTGGACGTTCATGGGGGCTGCCGGCTTGTGATGTGTTGAGGTTGCACTTCCAACGGCGGAAGCCATCGCAAAAGCCGTTTCTGGCGCGGATCTGTTGATTGTTGTTCGCGCGATACTGCAGGGGTGAATTGTCAAACGTGCGATTCGGAAGCGAGGGCGATGCCAATATTATTGTGCGCTTTCATCAGTGAAAATATTTGGCGAAGACGGCGGGCGGGAAAAACGGCCCGACTTCCGCATGTGAAAGTTTGGTAAAATCTCACGAGTCGGCAGGCAACAACACATCAATAACATACCGCGTTTCTTCTGCAATATCACGGCCAGTACATCTCGGAACCTGTTCGATCCGGCGCGGTTGGTCATTATACGTCGCAGATGTTATCAACGCATCATATCTGAGCGTGCGATGCATCATCGGATTCTCAGAGCAGCAGATATTCTCGATTGACCGCGCCTGGGGTTGTCAGGGTAGGAGGTAGGGTACCTATCAAGGTATTCGCCCACTATCGTTCGACTCCATGAAGATCGGATAGAGCACCGTAGACGCTGTAGCTTACAATCCCATGCTGTCGGTAATCAACACATTGGATGACTTCACCTCTATCATCACGGGAAAAACAAGTCAAAGACAGACATTCGTAGCATACGGCTCGTGCACGTGAAAGCAGAGATGTATCTGTTTGCCCCCGACCCTCTTTCTCTGCTACTCATCAAGCTGTGCAGTATTTCAACTGTGGCTGCAATTCTTTTCTTCGCACATTCAGTTCTTGCTCTGCTCTTCCCATCAAAGGAACCACCCGTTCCTTCGTCAGATGGAGACGTCTTCAAAGCTGACAGTCTTTCCCTCTTGCATCCGTTACACGCAATGCCTTGACCATCTCCAATATCCCATTCATACCATCTCTTACAATTGCTCTGCCATAGTAGATACATGTACTCATACAAAGTCCGCCGAAACCAGAATGGGGCATCATATCTCTATTCTGTAAAGTCTTTTTCGCTTCCTTCCTCAATCCCCAAAGAAGTCACTTATGGTATCCAGCCATCCTCCTCCCTCGCCACCACCCGCATCACCACCACCAGAAGCAGGCGGCTCTCCACCACCACCACCTCCCTGACCACCCCAGGGATCTTGACTTTGACCCCAAGGATCTCCACTCTCACCCCATAAATCCTCACTCCCGCCTCCAACGCCTCCATCCGCTCCTCCTGCATCAAAGGGATCATTCCCTCCCGCAGTCGGACTCGCATCATCCACTGGAGCCTGCGATTGAGCTTGACCGCCAGCACCCCTCTGCATAGCCTCATAACCAGCCATGGTTCCCATCCCCGCAACGGCGCCTTCACTTCCTGCACTTCCTGCAATCCCTCTTCCGGCAGCACCGGCAGCGCCAGCCGCACCTTCTATAGCACCTGCTTCGCCAGCAGCGCCTCCAACTGCACCACCAACTGCGCCTCCTTCGGCTGCTCCACCTCCCATAGGCCACATAAATGGCATCATACCCATTCCTCCTCCTTGGCCCGAATGCCGGGAGAAGTAGTCAAAGTCTATGGAGATTGCTGTTGCGAGCATTACGGCTCGCTGATCTAGGGTCATTGCGGTTCCATCTCTTTCATGGCGTTCTAGTTCTTTGCCATCTGCGGACTCGAGAGCGGTGGTTTGCGCTGCGGAATCCATTCTCAGGGCGTAGACTCCGGTGTCTGTGAAAATCTCCCTTGCGAACCCGGAGAAGTTGCGATTGACGCTCCCCACAGGGGCAGAGGAATCGTTACGCAGAGTGAAATCCCAGGAGAGAAAAGGTTCGTTGATGGAGGCGAATTGTGCCATTCCGGATTCGATTGCGGAGTCAGGAGTGGTAGTTTCTGTAGGAGGAACCTCTGCTGTGGTGATCTCCTCGCGGAAGGTGAAGAGATTGTACTTCCTTCTCAAGGGAGCCCATTGTTGCTGTGCTTCACCAATGATCCTCATTTCCTCCAACTTCAGTGGACTTGTTCTCGAGACTGGTACTCCTTCGACTTGCTGTGTTTGCAATCCCGTCTCTTCGCTCTCCTTGTATCCTCCTTCAGGCACGCAATCGTAGATTCTTATGCGACTGCTTATCCACGCAAAAGGTCTGTGTATTCTCAACACCTCCCGTCCTTCTTTATCAAAGATATGCGTTGTGAAACTCCGATGTGTCCGAGCAAGTTGCCTCACAAGGCTCCTACCAATCCCATGATCTTGCTCTGCAATGTAGCCCAACGTAGCACCGTGAGGGTCCATGATGATGTAGCGATTTGCTTGCTCAAAACCGATGAGCAGGTTCATCATTTCCATCTGACGTTGAATGATCAACGAGGAATTGGCAAGGAGGCTCAAGGCTGGATGCTCTGATGGGAGGACTGAGTGAGGATCATGCGGGATGTGAACTTCGCTGATGAGGTCGGAAGATGGGGAGGAGGCGAGAGCGGCAGAGAGGGCGGCGTTGCCATTTGACGGGGGTGTTGCTGGTTCATTTGATTGAGTTGAGGGGGCTGCTTCTGTTGAGGGACTTGTCTCTTCGTGTTTGGGAACTTCAATCCGTCTGTTGTCGATCTCGTTGCTCTCGATTCCTTTGCTGGGGTTGGAACTGCTTGCCCGAGGGATTATTCGCGGTTTGGATCGTAGGAATCGTCGTTGAGCGGGGCGTGGGGCTGAAAGCAATCGAGCTCGAGGTAGACGCAGAGCCCACCGTGCTGCGGACATTGTGGTGGAGTGATCTCGCAGAAATGTGTTTAACTCAGAGGTTGTGAGAATGCAACACCACTTTCACTTGCTTGTCACAAGCTTCCAACGGTAGCGGCGGAACGGACCGTCAGTGGTAGACCCTGTCGATCATAGACTGACTCTTTCCAATTCTTCCATCCAATCTCTCGCGGAACGCCATATTTCGTCTGCGATCCATCACAACAAAAGAAAAAAGGTGGCACGAAACGAGATTGACATCTAGACTGCCTCACTGGATCTCCCCACGAATAGCTAGTCTTGGTTGTGCAATCTTCGGAAACCTCGCGCAGAAAAAGGCCAATCGCCAGCCACTCCGACTTGTCCACTTGCTGGAATATCACTGGAAGTGAAGCTATGTCTTCCGCTACCGAGCCTCTACTCTCAAATAAACCAGCGGCTGTTCCAGTTGCTGCTCAATCAGAGACCGTCAAACCTAAGCGTCAAAATCATAAGCCCCGACCTAATTACGCCCACATCCACCGGCAACCTCTACCTTTGGCAACCCACCCACTTCCTGCATTCCACCCTACAAATCCACTTTCCCTCCTCCGCCTAGCATATGCCTACATCTCTCAAGTCCTCTCACCACCCTCCTCCCACCCCGCTTCTCCCTACGTGGGCTACTATTCCCCTGCAACCTGCGCAATCCACATCACAGACCCGGGCCACATTCGCGCATTATGGGAAATGGGCTTCTTCGGTAAAGGAAATCTCTCCCGTAGTGAGCCCTCCTGGATGGACCGCGAGAAAGCTCGCCTTCAAGCTCGGAGGCAAGGTGGAACGACCGCAGAGGAAGCTACGAATGCACGACGAGCTAAACGGAGGGACTTCAAATTGGAACGCGCACGGATTGAGGCGGAGAAGATTGCGAGGCAGAGGGACGTGGAGGAAGGGAAGATTAGCGCTGAGGAGGCAGCGAGAATCGAGAGGGAAATTGAGGCGGCCGAAGCGGCCAAGGTTGATGCCCCAGTGACTAAACGAGATGTACGCCCTCGGGACGAAGCGGAGAGTGATGGCGAGGAGGGAATCGAGGTGATTGAGAATCAAGAACATCTTCAACTCACGCGCGAAGAAACATTCTTTCTTTCCTACGGTCTTGGAGTTCTGGATGTCCGATCACCAACAACGGGGCGAAGCGAAGCCATCTCGCTAGGAAATGGACCCTCCTTGCTCAAACTCTTCGCACCAACCCTTGCACCTTCAGAACCTTTCTTGATCAACTATGCAGTCTACCACCACTTCCGCTCTCTAGGTTGGGTCGTACGGCCGGGGATCAAGTTTGGAGTCGATTACCTCCTCTATTACCGCGGACCAGTATTCTCGCACGCAGAGTTTGCTATCATCGTAATTCCTTCATACCCAAAGGGCAGTAAAGAAGCTGAGAGAAAGGCGAAAGATTGGTGGTGGTTACACTGTGTGAATCGAGTGCAGAGTCAGGTGCTCAAGAGTCTGGTTCTGTGTTATGTTGATGTTCCTGCTGCAGAAGAGTCGGGAATAAAAGGCGAGGTGGATATTGGAAGAATGCTGAGTGGTTTCAAGATCAGGGAGTTTGTGGTTAGGAGATGGGTTGCTAACCGGATGCGAGATTGAAAGTTGCTGGGATGATGGGAGTCAGCCTGTTGAGATCCGGGCTTTACCTGCAACACCTTCAGGATACTGCGCCTGATTTAGAACATGGTCAATGGGTATGGATCGAAGAATACAGGACTCTCTCGCAGCTTATGACTGTTCATCTACTGGAAGCCGGGTCGCAGCAAGAAGGTGTCCGGCAAAGCTATCTCCCGGCACAATCGCCGGTCTTCAAAGTTCACTCGAGCACTGTTCTTGCGGCGGCTGTCGAGATACACCGTCCCGCATATCCAGATGCCTCCGACTGCTTTCTCTTTGGGTGTGGGACCTCAGCAGACACAGTCTTTGCTTTCTGCAAGGCTTTCGGAGAGTGAACAACCTGGAAGACCATCTGCTGCTATGATGGCCAATCCTGCCGCATCGAACGTGATCTCACTTCTGCTTCGTGGGCCTCGAACGCTCTGTTTTCAGTCAGTCAGCGTTGGGAGATTGTGGAAGTCTTGCAACAGCCCAGACGCAATCCACGTTCGTCTGTAAGTGTATCTCCATGGAAATGCACGTCAATCTCTTCAGACCACCTGTCGGCCTCATGCGACACTGCGAAGACCTATATGGATGCGATTGTGAGGATGAAGTCAGTCCAGATGGGCCCAGACTTCAGCCTTGCCGGGCCGACGGGCTAACTTCTGCCCAGCCGCGGCCAACCACGCGACACCGCGATAAGCTCCGCTTTGGTGATTGCTCGACAGCGAGAAATGCTCATGCATCATCAACCTTTGTACATGTTTGACCTTTTTCAACGTACGGCATAGCTGCCGGAAATAAGAGTGACCTTCCAACGATCTTCACATGCCTTCCACGTGGAAGGCAAAGTTTACCGAAGAATTGTGTGGTGGAACGAGCGTAAAAAGCCAATCTTTGGTTTTATCCATTCCTTATCTTTCACGCCCAGACTTTCTCGACCTCCATCTTGGGCGTACAGACGTGCGGACTAGTTAAGTACTTTTGCACTTCTCCACTCTCGTCTCTGTTTGCATCTCCACAATCGCATCCTCCGCAATGGCGTCTGGCAACAAGGTCTTCGATTACAGCGAAAAGCATGTCTCGCCTGCTTCTTCCACACTTGAGCAGCGCATCGGCACGGGCAACGTAGGAGAGGTCCGAAGTCGCTTCCCAGGGTTCAGCTTGCGGGTTCAACAAGAAGAAAGCAGCTTTGCAGCCACGAAGAATGCTTCAAACGCGGATTTCGACCCCATCCCTCCTTCAAAGCGAACATGGGGTTGGGTAGCTTTTGTCTCGTACTGGATGGCCGATGCATGGGCAGTCTCGAACTGGCAAGTTGGTGAGTGTTCCATCAAGTMGAACATGATGAACCTTCCACTAACCAAACTGTGAAGCATCCTCGATGATCGCCGTTGGTCTTGACTGGAAAATGGCCATTGGCGCCTGTGTTCTCGGTAATTTCATCATGGGTATCGTCATCACGATTAACGGAAGAATGGGAGCCACTCTTCACACTCCCTTCCCGGTCCTTGCACGCATGCCGTTCGGATACTTCTTCAGCTACTTTGTTGTTCTATCCCGCTGCGTTCTCGCTATTGTGTGGCTCGGAGTCCAGACAGCGACTGGCGGCCAGTGTATGACTGTACTGCTTACAGCAATCTGGCCAAGCTTTGCAAACATCACGAACACTATACCGGAGAGCCAGGGCATCTCTACTTCTGGGATGATTGGGTTCTTGCTATACTTTCTGCTGCAACTCCCGTTCTTGATGATCCCTTACACTAAGGTGCGATCTCCTCCCCTGTTCAACCCCTTCCCACCACTTCTAACTGACCATATCTTCAGGTTCAATATTTCTTCGCGTTCAAGAGCATCATCGCCCCAATCTGCTTCCTTGCCATCTTCGGAGATACCCTTCGCRGAGCCGGCGGGACTATCAGCAACAGCACCGTCATCACAGAAGGCACCACCATCAAGGGCTCAGTCCTCGTATGGGCATTCTTCTCCAACCTCAATGGCGTGTTGGGCAACTATGCGACCCTCGGTCTCAACATCAGTGATTTCGCTCGTTACGCGAACAAGCCCAGCGCAACCAACGTCCAGGCCATCGTCATTCCATTCATATTCACCATCGTCGGCCTGCTCGGCATCTTCACCGCCGCTGCCGCTCAAACCGCCTATGGTAAAGTCATGTGGAACCCGGTCGAGATCATCGCTCTATGGTTAGAGTCTGGCTCTTCCGGCGGACGCGCTGCCGCTGCCTTCGCTGCGATCGGTCTCATCATCGTCACCATCGGGATCAACATATCCGCAAATTCAATCAGTGCGGCCAACGACCTCATGGCATTCTGGCCCAAGTACATCAATATCCGTCGCGGCCAAGTCCTCGCAGCAGTTCTCGGAAGCTGGGCATTCGTCCCCTGGAAAATCCTTGCCTCGGCCGCCAAATTCCTGGCTTTCCTCAGTGGCTACACAATCTTTCTAGGACCCATGACCTCCATCCTCATGGTCGACTACTTTATCGTTCGGAAGTGCAACGTCTCTGTCCCGGACATGTACAACTTCAACGGCATGTATCGCTACTCCCCGAAATTCGGCWCGAATTGGAGGGCTGTCGTGGCGTTTGCCATTGGATGTATCCCTCCTCTCCCGGGCTTTGTCGATAACATCCAAAAAGCTGGCGGTTCTACTACTACAGTCTCTATCGGTGGACAGCACTTGTTCGCGATTGGATACGTCTACTCGTTCATCGTCGCGGGGATCTTCTACTGGGTTTTCAACAGATTCTCCCCGCACAAGGAGTCGATTATGAGCGCTCCTGAAACTGGCGAGGATATCATTGCGGAGCAAGATGCGAAGAATGTGGAGGCACAGGCGCTGAGGGATGAACAAGTTGGAAAGCCGAATGTGCTTGCGAGATGTTTCCGGGTTTAGGTTGTTTGATTGATGTTGATACCAAATTTATGTCATGTGTTATGATCACGAAATATAGAGCGGCGTTTGATCTCAATGGCCTGGTCACTCCCGTGTGAGGGCTACCTTCTCATTGTCACCATCGAGTCCGAAGTGAAGAGATTCGGCTAGTATCATTAACAAGAGTAGCGCCCTGAACTGCTCTCTCGATTGATTAACGGCCACTCTGCTAGTGTCAGGGATTCTAACAGGCTTCGAATCATCGAGTCTGTAGAGAGCGAGGCCTCGAGACTTTATGGACATGACTGAGGATGCCTTGTCCTGATAAACAATCCTCATAACGACAGCTCTGTCTAGAGAGGACGATAGTTCCGGATGTAGAAGGTGCGGCGGGCTACCTTCTCATTGTCACCATAGGCCCTAGAATCGCTATGTACCGCAATATCACCCGTTTTGGGCGTACTTGGAGTCGCGACAAGCGAAGATGACAAACTTGCTTCGCCCTCGTCGTAGTCGTAGTCGTACGATTCGACAGCACGCATCGGCTGTTTTCCCTTCTCGTTGAACTGGCCAGGTCTCCACTGCAGTGCCATCAAGAAGTTTGGGTGGACTTCGACCGGATGGACCGGATCATCGATAGTAATAAGTCTCTTAGCACGACCCAGAAATGCATGAGGATGACATGAGATTAGTGTGTGTAGAAGAGCATACCATCTACCATGACTTAMAAAGTTCAAAATCATAAAAAAAGTCCCAGTCACGGCTAACATGACCAATTTAGGCTCGCATCATTGATGACATCCCCAGTAGGCCTCACACTCATCCCAGTAGGGAGTAGTATTTTTCGATTACCGGGGTTTCAGAGCCATGGCACGTCGAGACGTAGCGTGCGATTGTTTGTCTTACGAACCAGGGTAAAGAGACGTCATGGTTGAAGGAGGAACCTGAACCTGAAGATGGATGTGAACGAGATCTTCTTGATTATTGGAGGTGAACGGATGTTTGAGATGTTAGATCTTCTAAGTTTCTCGCAACGTTCTGATGTGCTTTTGGAGACGATGTTGAGAATCTTGAGATTGAGAAGGCTTAGGATGGATTGAATGACGACAAGTAAAGAAATGGTCTGAATGACAGGTGTAGAACAGAGGCGTCTTACAAGACTCTACCTTAGTCTAGCTTCGCCTCAACCTTCCTTCAACTTGAACCATAGAACTGGTGTAAGATCATAAGACGAGATGAGGTCTGATTGGTCTGGTTTGCTGAAGCTGTGGCATTACAATGGGCGAATCCATCCTTCAATACCGCTTCTGCACCAAGTGAGCCTCGAAAATTAGATGCGACCCCAAAACACGCATGCCACATGTCCCCAATGCTCAAAGTTTACGACTGGCGAACCAAAGCCACTTCGCCCGGTGAATCAATAGTCCCACTGATCACCGCATAGTAATGGCAAAACCCACCAGTGAAATCAGCTCCCTTACACATCTTCACGCTATACATATCGCAGAATCCCAAACAGCTGTCCAGAGACCCCGTATAAGTCCTCTTATCTTTCTTGGCCTTTTCCAATTTATGTTTGCCGGCGCTCGTGATGACAGTCCCGCCAAAGCGTGTGTTGCATAGCACACCATWCTGTGATCCCTGCGAGTCCGTGCAGGTCTTTCCGTCTAGAGCTGGGCACATTGTCTCGGAACAATTTGGTGGTGGCTCTGAGGTCGGAAGCGGGAAACTTGGAGTCGTCCATTTCGCTGTTGGGGTCGTGTATGTGAAGGCGTTGATGTAAGTTGGAGCCTGTAGAGTGGGAGGTCTGGTGCTTGGGAGTGGTGCGGGTGCTGATGATCTAGAGACGACTGTAGAGTTTTAGAAGTCTCCTATGGTGGGATCTGTTAGAGGTGAATCTCACCAGATGCGACGTTCTGCGCTTCCGTGACTGCGGCCAGGAGGAAGTATGACAAAATCGAGAATATCATTTTTGCACACGTTTCGATTGATAACCGTCCTGTTTCTGTTAGACTTTGATATGACGTGAAAGAGCTTCAGGTGCAAAGCGAGGGACGAAAGAGGTAAGATAGGGTTCGGAATGTATGGCTTGCTGCTCTGGAATGCTGGAACCACGCACCGAACGAGCTGGCGGGTTCCAGATCCTCATAAAGGTTAAAGCTGCTGCATCAGGAGATGGGTCTCGCAATGTTCTCGCAGGGCTAATGTGTCGGATTGGCATGGGCATGGCAGGTCCTGCTGCAGAATCGCATTTTCTATCCAAGTGCGACGAGGTTTGAAGCTAACTTGGTTCTCTAGCTTTGCGACTTTTGGATCTCAGGGGCTTTATTCTCCTCGCCTATAGGTACGCTTTCAGAATAGATGGACGAATTGCGGTGAGAGTACAGAAGCCGCGTAGCAGCGCTGCTGGCTATATCGGAGGACGCGATCTTACATKTCCTTCTTCTTTTCTGGCGGAGGGGATTTCGCTCCACTCATCAGCTTCCACAACACCCATCCAAACCCCAAGAGTACCGCGACGGCAGTACCCAGTGGCACCCACGGAGCATCATCCAATACTGGAACCTCAAGTATCTCCACAACATCCGCGAAAGATGGAACGTGGTAGAACATGGCTTTTCCAAAGAGGCCATCATAGCCAAGATTCGTCCGATCGAATGGATTTGTAGCCATCTTTGAGCTTTCCTCGGCTTCACATGCCCAGAATACAACGGGCCAGGGGATCGCAAGCGAACGAACTCCTCCTGCTCCGGCGGCTTCGATATAGCGAAGATGCATTGGGAACGTGACAGTCCAATTTCCGGTGCTGGTGTCTTCTTGCTTGGGATGAACAAGCTCGAACAACGCGGCGGATCCCCACTGCTTTACAGCCCAGTCTGGTGCCTCCAAATCCTCCTCGCCACTCAAGCTTCGCAGAGCAGCAAGGTTTTGAGAGGCTAGGAATAGTGGATCAGAGAATTGGTAACGATCGAAGAAGACGGACGATGGCAATGTGTAGTAGGCGTGAAGCGCACAACTGTCTTTGGGCGGAGTCAAGGCGTGCTTGGGGAACACCAAGTCCATCTTAGGGTGAAGTCCTGTCGGAGACTGGAAGCCTGCGGTGAATGTCGTGATATCCCCGGCCGGAAGTTCATGGTGACGTGCAGGAAATGAGAACAGCGTTGCGCTTGGTTTTTCATCTTCACCCACGACGGTCAAATAGCCACCCAGAGCAATGTCCTCTGGTTCTGTTGCTTTGTCCGTCTGCAGGATTCCAACCTCGAGACGGTCTTCCGGATCCAGCTTATCAGCAGGCAGTTGTGAAGGTGATTCCCACAATATGACAACATTCAGAGCGTTACTGATCGCATCATAGTCGTAGTCGACGTAAGACGATGAATTTGCGGCCGACAAAATGCTACACAGAGCGGCTGTGCTGCTCGAACCGCTAGCGCACAAACCGAGACCCTCCGATACATCCAGCAAGTTCGAAGGCCCATGATAGAACTGGTACGTTGCAGTGCTTGCAAAACGCTCTGAGAGGATGGGAGGTTTACTGAATTCGCACTTTACCTGCTCACCAAGCAACGTGGTCAATTTAGAGCAGAGCTCCGCGTTTGCCGATGATGTCCTCGGCGTGAAGAAGACGTGGAGGCCAGCTGGCAGCCTGGAGACAGCGGGAGAGAAGCCGTTGTATCTTTGATTCGAAACAAGACGGATGTGAAGTTCATGGAAGTTTTCCAGGAGTAATCGCAGCTATGGAGCCGTTAGCTGGTTCACAGTAGCACCGAGAGCGTTGCCTACCTCAGAAGGCAGATCCGTCAATCCCAGCGTAATTCTTCTCTCCTCGACAGCATTCTTATGAGGATGTCTCAGCGAAGTCTGGCTGACTTCTATGTCGGCTGGATTGTTGTCGCTTCCTGCCGGCAGGATGTATGTGATTCGTTGTCTCATGGTCGGTGGTGTTTGTAAATCGCGAGAAGCGCGTAGAGGTCACGTAAGGTTGACTAGCTCCAAAGCACGTGCCACAATGGGCTTTTTCCAGGGTCCAACAACGACCTCACCCAAGTCACCTTCACCTGACTCTCGTCATTTTTCCATGTTCTCCATTGATCGCTATCACGGCGCCAAGTCAATATAGTGCATCGCAGCGACATCCAGATCCAATCCACTCACGGAAAGAAGTGAATTCCAGAATCATCCTTGATGGATATGCTCCGACTCGGTGAAGCGCCACATCGCCAAGGTGGTATCCTCCTCACATGAGGCACGGTCCACCCGCTGCTGCCTATTGCTGTTCTGGGTATGACTGGCTGCAGGTCGTAGTCTTGGAGACCGCTATGTTGCCTCAGCTCGTACTTCTCTACCGTTGGAACCACAAACGACTCTGCTCTCTTTGACGTCCACAGCTACTCTTACTGGAATCATGTCTGACACTGATGATTTAACATGCCAACATAAGTCCTTGCGATTTGAATGCTCCGAACACTCCCAAGACGTTGGCTACAAGCCGAGAACGGCTTTGCAAAGACTGGCAGCAACACTGCCATCCAACAAAGCCCCAAAGAAGGCGGACAGGCAACGCTTTGGGTCCAGTGAGGACCAGTATCCAGCCTCGACATTTCCTGCTCCTCTCGTTCTCCCCGAAGATGAGCTCTCGTGGGACCCGAATTGCGAGCCGCAAAGTCTTAAATCATGGATCGAGGAAGGTCACAGGAATGAGATCACTAAACATCGACGCACCATCTATCTCGTCGAGAGTCCAGTAATAGCAACTTCTGCAGCATACATTAAAAAGTGGGCAAGCCCTCAGCTTGATCCAAAGGAAAGTCAGCATCTAGGGAGTCCAAGAACTGAGGACGTTCTCAAATATCTTGAAGCATTCTACTGCGGTCTGCCAGTAAAGATGCTMACAAAACCCAAACTCAAGTACGTTCCTTGGTCTGATTCAAGTTCAACCGAGGGCTCGCTACCCTCATATATCGGTCTGCGTACAGGCTCAGAGGTGATTGGTATACGGCACCGCCCGTCCAAAGACGACATCTTCGCTGGCCAATTGAATCTCAACGATCTTCTGGACGTCGCCATTTCAATACTACCAAGCGATGCCTACGCTCTCTTGATGCTCACGGACCATGATCTTTACGAAGATGAAGAAGACGACTTCTGCTGCGGGCGAGCTTATGGAGGCAGTCGCGTCGCGGTGGTATCTACGGCGCGATACAATCCCGCTCTCGACAAAGCTCAACACGTCGAGACTGCCCACGCCTGGCCCGCATCTCACTGCCAATCATACATTGACTCATGCTGCGATGTGGCGACAAAGAATGTGAAGAAGAAAGCAGCAGTTGAAGAAAGCCTTTCGGCATTGCGCTCCGCAGTAGTGGCGCTTTCTCCGGTACCCGCAAGGAAGAACTCTAAGCACGAGTCACTCTGGCTATCCCGTCTTTGTAAAACTGCTTCTCACGAGCTAGGCCATTGCTTCGGGATCGATCATTGCAGTTACTACGCTTGCATCATGCAGGGGACCGCAGGATTGTCCGAGGATGCTCGTCAGCCACCATACCTGTGCCCTGTAGATCTCGTAAAAGTGCTTCGTGCGACTGGTGCGGACCCTGTACAGCGATATAGAGCTCTCTTGGTGTTTTGCGAGGGGTCTGGAGCGAGTGAGAAGATGTTCGATGCCTTTGCCGCCTGGCTACGTGTGAGGATTGACGAGGTTGAGAGCTGGCGAGATGTAATCGTGCTGGAGTGAACAGAGGCTGAGAAGAGCCATGTTCTCCTATACCGCGAGATCATCAAAGCACAAGACATGATTGGTATCGGTCTTGAGGGAGCGTATGGCAGGCTAGGAGCGACCAAGTCAGTACCAGTCACCCGARCACCTCTGTATGAAGAGCATGATTATGTAGCTGACTTTCTATCCTCTCGCAGTGCTTAAATCGAACGTATCAACTTCTAAAAGAGTTACGGATGCCACTATGCCTATTGCTGCATCTGAGGACGCTACACAAGGTTCCCGACATACCGACTATGTTGGAAAGCGGCGTACTTGGCTTTGCAAGGAGATGTGTCAATCGGACAATCACTCAGTCCCAGATTCTTGGCCCTGCCCGAGTAGCCTTTCAGATGTCTAGACTCAGGACAAGGTCTCCGCCTCTCATATCGACTTGACAGAAGCCAGACAGGTAATCTCAAGCATGACCGCTTGATCCTGGGTTCTAGCGAATGCGCCGTTTCCAGATAGATCATAGAAGGATCCAAGAATCTTGATACATTAGCTTCTCAGCATCCTCAGACCATAGCAATAAGATTTGAATCATGAATGAGCAAGGACACGACCGGTGATCTTTATTGGTGGTGCAGAGGAAGATGGATGAGTAGGAGATCGGGAGCGGAAGCTCCAGGAAGGTCGAAATCATACGTGGGAGGAATGTGGTAGGACGCGTGCTAAGAGGCCAGACACTAAGTGCCAGTAGCCAAGTGGGTCCGCTAGGAAGTATTCTGCTTGTGCTTGGCGCAGCAGTCACCTTCCTAATGCGGTAAATTTCTAAGACGGGTAGAATTTGGAGGAGGGATATTGGCATCAGGAGTCAGATCCTAAGAAGATGCACGTGAACGCGTAGAAACGGGTTGACATACTTACTAGCCACACGTCAATGGAGTTTGACACACGAAGCAATCAATTGCAGCCAAGTGATAGAAGACACGGGAAGGAAGGAATTGGAAGAACGCTGATTCGTAGTATGCTTACAGAGCTTGCATTTTTGCTCTCAGCGATGACTAGATACTCCTTCAAGACTTGACCAGCAACATCCTTGCTACAGCCACAATCGCATGAAAACAATCTAGCCAGTCGCTCTCGCATCGAACATGTCTCGTTATAATCACAACGCCATGATCAATCAATTCAAGCCGTGTCGAGGCTCAAGTAAGGGAGATGTGTCGCGTCTGATGAAATGACTACTCCTCCATCTTGATGTCCTCCTCAACATCAGCGGCATCAGCCTCGGTCTCGGCGGCGGCAGCGTCGTCCTCGTTGTCCTCCTCCTTGACGGCGGCCTCCGACTTCTTGGTGGCAGCAGCCTTCTTGACAGGAGACTTGCGTGCCTTCTTGACGGGAGAGCCGGTGGCATCGGCGACACCGTCCTCACCAGCTGCGGCGGCAGCCTCAGCCTTCTTCTGAGCGGCAGTCTTGCGGGGAGTGGGGGTCTTCTTAGCCTTCTTGACGGGGCTGCCCTCCTCAGCCTCAGCAGACTTCTCTTCATCTGCGGAGGAGTCCTTCTTGGCGCGCTTCTTGGGAGTAGTCTTAGCGATGGTAGCACCTGTTTGATTGTCAGCTGAGAAACTCTACATTTATGTAGCATGTGCAAAGCACGGCGACGCACCGGCCTCACCGTCCTCGGCGGTGGGAGGGTTCATCAAGAGAAGCTTCTTCTTCAAGACTCCCCAGGTGTTCTGTGCGGTCTTGACGGTGTTGAAGCCACCCTGGGTTGTGAACTTCTGAATGTCGATCTCCGGGGCGCCGGACTTCAAGCTGAGCATGGCAACCTGAAGGAGTGCGGTCTCGCGGTCGGTGAGGACAGGCTTCTCGACGGGCTTCTCGGCCGCGATGGCGGAGCCGGAGGAGGGCTGAGAAGTAGACATGATGATGCTGTCGGTGGTGAGGTTGCTGTAACACTTGATCAGTTTCGAACTTTCTTCCTCGACGTGAGGGGAGCACATACCGTTGATGTTAGAAGGTTATTATGAAGTGTTGAAGGCGGTTGGGGAAGCTCTTGATGGGAGCAGATGGTGTTGCGAAGGGAGGATGCGGTGATGTATTGGGGAAGGGAAAGTCCAAATGTTTGTGGGCGTGCGAGGTTTAAGTAGGGGAACTTGTACCAGAGCGGGCCCGGGCCTCAATTTTCAATGCTTCCTGTGAAAGCTTACCTAGGCGGCAACATGTGCGTCGCCGATTGTTGTTTCACTTTTTTGCCATTGTGGCAGCAATCCCCGATTTTTGGACCACAATATTTGGGGATTGTTACCATTGTGGGAAAAAGTGACGATTCACACCCCAAATGCGCACATGCGGGCCCACCCAACATACTGAATGACCCGTGGGAGAGCTCTCAGTGGCGGCGGGTGAATGATAGTGACAGTGTAGCCGCATATGCGGACTCCCATTGGTGTTCATGGAATCGATTGTCGCGCTGACTATGGTATGGTGTACAGGAAAGTTGCGTTCTGGGGACCTGGCCGCAGTGTATGCATTGACGAGGTCGACGAGGTCAACGCCATACTCAGACTAGAGCAAGAAGGTTGGAAGTCCTATGCAGAGCTGAAAGCCCTGGCCGGTGGCCTGTGATCGATGGGAGACCAAGTCGCGTCGCGTCATTTAGGGGCAGTCCGACTCTTACCTCACTGCAGCGTATCTCCGTGCCGCATGAGGGCCTTTCATGAGTCAAATTCGCTCTTACGAATAGAGTAGAGCTTCCGCCACCTCCATCTCCCACTGGATCGTCCAGAACATGAAGCGACCTTCACGCGACTGGAAATATCCTCTCCTCTCCCTCAC